TGTCACAGATGGACTGTTGAACTCACCATCACAGTAAATATTCGAAGCAATCAATACCCTTAACAACTGCTGTACTACTACTACTAAACTAGGCATAGCTTCCAACGTTTCTGTCTCGGACTCTTGTAATACTAGTAATAGTACTAACACCATCCCAACGTTCATTTTATGTATATCTTCTTCTTCTACCATTACTAATTAACATCAGTAACAAGGGTAATTCATTCATCATTTAGAAAAACTAGGCCTATCTATTTCTAGTGGATCAGAATTGTATACAGAAGGAAGAAAATTCAAAGAACCCCGTGAAACAGTAGATTGTTGTTGCGTTGAAATCCCTGCGCATGCGCAGATCCATCCATGTTACATCTCGGAAGCTTTACCAGCCTCAGCGAGGCTGGTAAAGATTACCGAGACGTTCCGAGATTTTACAAGGATATTACATGGAGGTACTTTCACACGTGCCATAAAATGTTACTTTTGGTTACATTTTGTTACATTTGGTAAGATTTTTGTACGTGTGAATCGGGTATAAGTAAATAAGGAAGAATTGTTGTTTAATGAACAAAATTATTTTTATGTTGCTTCCAAATGCCATGTCTTCTTGTTCTGATGTAATATAACGATATAGCTTGTAAAAAATGTAAGGCCGACATTTGACTTTCTGTGTCATGCTCTATATTAGGGAGCTTCCAATTTGTTTGATCTCCTTTTTAGATATGAAAATTTAAAAATAATGTGCTTTAATGTAATAAGTAAGTATTGAGTTATGTCTAAATGGTCATGTCATGGCCTACAAAATGTTCTTAATGTAACCGCTACAGATAGCCATTGTTTGCCCAGTGACTACTACTGTAGAAAGAATATTATAAACAACCCCTTGCAAAGATCACCAGTTGTTGTTTACATAGTTGTGGTTGGCTGGTGATTTGGTCGGAAGGTATAGAGATTACGTTATATAAAAATCACAAAATTCGTCTTCCAGATTGTAAAAAATTTTGCTTGACCGGGCCCATCCAACAATCAAACTGCAACCTATGATCCTCATCTACACATTGGTCATTGTTTATGAACCCAGGGGTTCAGTCAGCATAAAACAATATACCTCTTGCAGTCATCCGTTTTAATATAATAGTCTGTTTTGCTGTGTTTTTTACAGGTTCATCATCGGATGTATATTTTGATACTAGAACAAAAGCAGTAATGACACACGTTGACAAGTACTCAAGGGAACAGCTGAAAGAGAAGGTAAATTTGATTGTATTTTTAGAATACCAATAATAAACTAGACCTTGATTTGATAGCACACACCTAATGCATCTCTGATGAATGTGCTTAATTTTCTGTTCCATAATCATGATTATTTGATATTTTTAGATAAAGTTTAAACTGCCAAAATATACTTATTATTCCCTGTGCCCTATACACATATATAATGTAGCTTTTAGTTAGATTCAGGGCAAATACTTTTATACACAGCCTCTAACAAGTCTCATTATATGTTGATAAAATGACTCCTAAAGTAAAATTTCAGGGGTCGCAAGTTAAAAAACCACTCCGATAGATCTAATTTTATTTTGGTGCTGCGCGTGGTGGTCTTATTGGGATCACACAGACTGCTTAGGATCTGCCAGCCCGTTCCTGATCGGTGAGCTCCGATCGGGATCGGGACCTGTAAAAAATGATTTCACTTTGTTAACCTCTACACTATCAAATTTCATCAAAAAAAGCTTCATATAAAATTTAATGGAACATAAAGTTGAACTTTTTTTTTTGATGCAATTTGATGATATGTGATATGACGTCATCATACCCATATATGGGCACATCACATTTTTTTGTCACATAAAATTTGATAGTGTAGATAAAGCTTAATGGTAAATAATATTTACTTCAAAACTTCCATTGGCTTTACTTATACTGTACCTAAAGTAGATTAGAACATTGATTGTAATGTTGTTAGCATAAACAATGACCATACAATTTTTTGACATTAACTAAAAATAATACTGAACCTAGAAACATTGATATGTAATAATAATGTTAATAATAATAATAATGATAATTGTATTATCTATTTCTGAGTATTCAAAAAACCATTAGTACAATAGCAGCCCAAGGAGCTGATGGAGTACGAATTTAGAGTTAAAAACAGTACACAAGTAGAATATCAAATATTATCAAAATATAAAAAAATCAGTCGAGAATAGAGAACATCCAAAATGCGATAAAAAAAAACATAAAAAAAACATACAAAATAAACAATTAAGTCACATTTTCACAATATAAAAAGATATTGAAATCATTAAAAAAATGTTTTCGATGTCAATTTCTTTAAATTAGACCAAAATAATAGCAAACAGTATTTGCTTTTATATTGACAGTTAGAGCTTGAAACTCCAGCCTTGTTGAACAGTGTGCTAGTTGTTTTGATGACAGTGCATCAAAAATCTTATAATGACACTTAGAGAACAATGTCCTTTTCAGCAAAAAATAAATAAATCAAACCATTTGTTCAACAAATGGCAGTATATTCTGTTTGTGTTATTTTAGTATATTAAACCTTTAAATTCCATGTTCATCTTTTAAATTGTCTGTGAAGCATAATCCAGTCGGTATCAAAGTAATATATTAAAAATAGGAAGTTCCTTGATCAAATAAAGTTGTCACTGGACTGACTGCTTCAATACTCTCCCTGCAATCTCTCCTACCGTAAAACCTTTGATAGAAGCCCAGTGGGCTTAATCTTGAGAAGAACCCCATCTCGAATTAAAGCCCCCTCATTAGTTTTGCAAAAGTAGCCTCGAAAAGAAGCCCATGGGTTTCTTTTCAAGATAACATGGGCTTTTTTTTCGAGATATTACAGTACACTATACATGAATTTCGAAGAAAAAAAATTAATTAAAAAAGCGCTTGTTTACAGTAATTTAGGTGATTTAATGCCAGTTAATACACTCCATGATACAGATTCATGTTACAGTGGCCCTATTTATTGTTTTCTAGTAGTAATTCCCAAAAGTTACAGCATTCATTTTGAAAAGAAGCCTCCTTTTTACTTGCGAAAGTAGCCTCAAAAAGAAGCCCACCTAAATTTTACAAAGAATTGAAGCCCAGGGCTTCAATTCAAGGTTTTATGGTATATTTCAAATTTTGAAAAGTAATATGAAGGTACTAGTTGTTTAACAATTGGTTATATTTTAATTTTCAGATTGCGACAATTCGTGAAATAGTGCCAAACAAAAGTAATGATGAGATAGTACTAGTATTACAACATTTTGATGGCGACTTAGAGAAGGCTATTCAGTCATTTACAGATGGTAATCTATTTAAAGTATTTTATTTTATTATGAAGTTGAGTTTAATGCCTTAGAATATCAATTATCTACTTTACATCCAACTTTGAATTATATTTCAATGCTATAAAATTGTAATTAAATTGTTATTCCAGATGTAATATACGGAAAATCATATTAATTTGTAATGGAAAAATAGTTAAGTAGTAAAATGTTGGCTCATCAATCCCTGTGTGATTCAAATCCTGTAAAAACAAAAAACTTCACTTACATAATAATAAAAGTAAAATTACATTAGACCAGGTACCTATTTATATTGGAAATAAAAGTTTAAAAGGGCTTAGTGCAAAGAGAATCAATAAGCCAGCATACATAGAATTTGAAGCACCCAACTTTCAGAGTTTGAATTACAATAACTACTCTCTAACCATGGAGGAATAAATCTCTCTCTTTAATTTATCCCTCCATGCTTCAACTAAGTAGCTAGTTGGCATTGTGTCACATATGGGGTATGTTGGAGGTCTAAGTGAATATTTATAACACTGAGCACCATTACCTAAACTTGTGTTGTGCTTGAAAAAACCTTCATATACTGCTTTTCACTTCTTTATGTTCAGTATCAATATATGTTTTATTGATGATCAGCATCAGGGATATAAACAAGAGCTTTCTAGCCAAAAATGGTAGGCAGGCCGCAAACCTGTAAAGGTATTGATGATCAGCATCAGGGATATAAACAAGAGCTTTCTAGCCAAAAATGGTAGGCAGGCCGCAAACTTGTAAAGGTATTGATGATCAGCATCAGGGATATAAACAAGAGCTTTCTAGCCAAAAATGGTAGGCAGGCCGCAAACCTGTAAGGTATTTTATTGCAGAATGCAACAAATTTGCCATCTGGCCGCATGTGGCCTAGGAGCGGCACTCAGGGTATTTCTAAAGGAGTTTAACTTTTCTTTACTTTCCTCACAATTTCTATGTATACTGTGCATCTAGTCTTCTTCCCAACAAACTCTTCTCACTGTCTCCCTGCCACATAATTATGCCATATTTTGTTAATGTTGATGTAAATATCCCGATAAAATAAAGGGTGGGTCATCTATATGTAGTTTTTTATGCTGGCCAGTTGTTTTACCAAAAGTTCAAATTCATTCAAATTCATTTTTACTAAACTTCTCTAATAGCAGCAAAATTGCTGAATTGCAAGAGATTACAATTTATACAACATGTAAAAACATTACTTCAAACTACCTAATCTTAAAGGATTAAAAGCATGTATCAGTATGTAGTGATCAAGCAAATGCTGAATTGCGAGAGATAACAATTTAAAATCTCACTTAAAACTAGCTAAAACCTAAAGGATTAAGTTCAGAGAGTTTAAACCTTTGTCACCCTCTAGGCTAAAGTGAGACTGCTTTTTGGTTACTGTTAAAAAATCACCCAATGTAAAATGGTTCTTTTGCATTTTTTTTATGGAGCTATATACTGGTACTGTCACAAAATATTTGTTTAAGAATGGTTCGTAGGAACAGGTCTTTCTCATCAATAGAAATGGGCTCACAATTAATGACTCTAGTCTGGTGCATTCCCAAATGCTCATTATCATCATAATTATTGACATCTAAGCAAATGTATACATTCCAACCCAAAATGTCAAAATTAAGTAATGTTGGCCTAATTATTCTGTCTTTGTCACATACTGTATAAAATAAGGCTGTTGTCTTGTTTTGGTATTGGTATTATTGAAGACAGTATGTAAACTCAATGATTTAAGCATGTCTGTTATTATAACCCTTTGTAACAAAAATCTGAATAACAAAAACAGGCCACTTTTATGTCCATCTTCCATTTACAGTGTTTTTGTGCATGTTTATTGAGCTTCCATATTAATGATACTAAAATTGCAATCTCCACAGACAGCTTTCCCATCAACATCTATAAAGCTGTAGTCACTAAGTAGGAGTGTTTTGATGGGTCTCTTCCTTTTCCTTTGCTCATATTTAGAAAGTAATGACTCGTAATACTAAAGTGCATGTACTGTATGTGTCTTTACACTGGCCATGTGTTGATAGCATTGCTTTAAGTCAGTGGTGATTACCATGTTAAAATTCTGACCATTGAACTCCAAAGTATATTTTTAACTAATTAAAAATTTTACAAGGATCATTCTGGTGAAATAATCCAAAACCAAGGTGACTTAAATACTGATACTATTGGATCCAGGGTAGGGAAGGCAGAATTGTCTGATAGGGTGTCTGACAATTCAGAGTGTAAGCAAATTGGGCTATTTTAATTAATTCTAATAAGACTCTCTAGAACATGTGCTCAAAGATGTAAGAAGAAAAATATATACAGTACCCTTTTCTACCCTTTCTTCCCCCTTCCCCAACTCCTGGATGCAAAAATATCTGATTGTCCTGTCAATCATATTTTGTGCTATAATAACTTACAAGTAGAGTTGACATGCACTAAATTCGTGTTTAGAAATGTTGATTATTTTGCATGTGGTTGGAACAGAAGATTAGGCCTTATAGTATTTTTTTTTCTTTTATTTGTTTTGGCCATTTAGTCTTAGTGTGCTTTGTAAATTGATGATAACAACATTGAAATAAATATTGTAGCCATCATTGTGGAATAGGGCCTACATAATACACATGACTCTAGCATTAAGACAATACAATCCTATCCAACAAGCAGCCGTTTTACACAGGGAGGCTAATTTTAAAGTTAACGATAAGCAGCCCCTGCAACTGTCAACGGCCTGTGCTAGTTCAGTTCTTAAACCCCAAATGGGGTAGGAAAGATAAGTTTTCGCTTAGGAGGTGTAATTGCCAACATAAGTTGGTGTTACTGTAACATGGTGTAATACCAAGTTAATTTTTAATTCACTTATTTTGGGTAAAAATAAGTGCTTTTCTGTATTTAATATTTTTCATATTTTAACAGTAAAGAAATTCAGTTCACTTTTTAAACACTAATTTAAACAAACTAAAGCCCCGTAAAAAAAATTGTTAGTTTCACCCTATCCTAGCATAAAAACTGATGAGGGAGGGAGGTCCCATCTGCGTTCGCTGGTGCATTTGGTTTAGGACAAACACATAAAAAATCACAAGAATGGGCTCAAATTTACAAAGAAAACATGTTTTTATTGTCCAGTAACACATTTTGCTAAAATACAGTTTCTAAATATGAAAAAGTGAGAATTCATAAATACATCTTGCAAGGTAAAGTATATAGAAAATAAATAAAATTATTGACCCTCTTTTTACATCTCCTGTCATTGCAAGTGCATACAGTAGCTTTGGTAAGTTTATTATTGCAATATGTATTTTAAAAGAATGAAGGAAAATACATATATTGAACTTGAATGGATATGTCTACTTTGCGTGGGACCAAATTTTGCAACAACCTGTGAAAAAAAATTACAAAAAAGTGTGAGAAAAAAAAACCATTTTATATGTTTTGAAGAGCTATAAAACTGATGTAAAAGCAAATGTATGTCATGACTGGATGACAAAAAACAAACTTAGGCCCCCTTAAGTAGGGCTAGGCCCTAGGCCTAGATAGACCTGCTGGGTTAGGCCTAGGCCTAATCTAGGCCCCTCAAGTAAGCCATGCCTGCTAGGCCTACTTGTTGCTTGATACGTTTCGATAGTCTTGCTTCTCAAAGGACAAATAGTTTTAAATTATACCTCAACATTTACAAATCTTGTTAGGCCTATACCAAACTGATTTTCTTAACATGTTTAAGTATCAGTATTTAAAGTAAGGCTACATATTAGCCTTGTTCCGATGGTGTAAGTTACACCAGTGATACTCAGGATTTTCATTGCAACAAATCATCATTTTAAGAATTCAAAGCATTTTCTATATTGATTCTTATATTCTCCAACATTATTACCACTAATATAAATTACAAAAGGATGTGCATCTTAATTATTCATACCCACAAAGCCACTTCCAGCATACCACTTATCTCCATATACCACTCATCTGCATACAATCAGACAATCAACTTCCATATTACCATTCTATAAATCACATGTAAAGCAAACAAAGCTCCACATTGACATGTTATCTTATCTGTGAGTTCTATCCAAAAATAACAACACACTAATTATCATTATTGTATAGCATAATTTAAAAAAGAAAATTCTTATTGCATAGTGAATATACTACTACAAGGAAGTAGGTCACAATTTCTCAATTTTTATTTAGTTTTGTTGATGCATCATCTCTATTGTTTTAAGCTTACCCTATATTTAGTCTTATTTTTTTATTTACTTGTGAAAAGGCATTAATTGCAACATTTTTTGGTCGATATTTGCTGAGGTATCTTCATTTTAATTTGATTATAAGAAACGTACAGAATGTAATCAGCTGAGGCATATGAAATATTAACAGTTTATGCTTGAAATTGGAGACTGTTGTGTGGAAACAGAAAATCAAATAAATTTCATTAAGAAAATATAGGGATTTTGAACTTGATTGATATTGATTGTAGAATTCTCATTTTAAAATCTTTAAAAGTATACATACTGCTACATTCAGGCAATGAACCTGGAGCTTAATATTGTTAGCTTGAATAGCACTCTCTGCCAGCTGTCCTGTCAGGAGGCCCGGAGACCCCAGATTTGCAGAAGCTAGGATTGGTGCCTATTTGCTTTCTCACATGTATGGCCCAATCCTAGCTCCTCCAAATCCGGAGCCCACACACACACAGATAATCAATTTATTTTGGGTCTAACTGGAGTCGGCATACTTCAATATTTACAATTACTATATTTTTTATTCAGAAATGTACAGTATTAATGATCATTAGATTAATATAAACATCAAAGCTATTACTTTGAAACCCATTTGTTGTTTTTTTCTCTTTTACTCAATAATAGGACAGAAGATATAGTTCCTAGCATGAGTAAATGTCATTAATGAAAAAAACTTAAGGATAGGAATCATTTACTTCAATCAAGGCAGAAAAATGAAATTTTTGGTGCAGTACTTGTCGCCTCAAACCTTGTAGTCAG